AGCAGGAATTCAGTTTAAATGCAAGCTACCTTTCCCTAAGATTGACTCTGGTGAAGCTTGCACAAGATCAGTGATTTTATTTTTTTTTTTTTTTTTTTTGAGTGAACATGTAAACATAAAACAAATTCTTTCAATTCTCAAAATATTCACATAAAAGTTGGTTTGGGTAAAGCTTAAACAAAACGGAATTTAAACAATGATCAGAAGCAGTTATTTGGCTGAAATCCTTGATTCCAGATGAGCTTTTTTAATATCTCCAGCTAAACTGTCTGTCCTTTCCTAGGACATGATTAGAGGGCAAAGTATTAAAAGTCCAACTGTTAAGTGAATGGCCCATACAGGGACTGAATCCACAATCTTGGTGTTATTAACACCATGCTCTGACCATCTGAACTGATCTAATTTCAGATGGCTAAGGCTCCATCCCACACAGTACTGCCTAGCTCCTGTGCTTGCACAGCTTTCTTGACTGCACCAAAACCACTGCTAGAGCTTGTGAGGGGTTTGGGCAGCCAGAAAGACCCAGCCCATTGGGTCTGAAGGGTGCAGCACTCACCAGGAACCTCCATCACCTCAAGGGAATGGCCCCAGTTACACAAGTTACAGACAGTTCTGCCTTCCCCCAGGCAGTGAGAACAGACCCCTTTTCCACCCACATAAAGGCTGGATAACAAAAGATATAAATTATACAATAAATTGCTTTATTGCAATTTACATCAACAGTAACATATTCTTCCTCTGAGGTATCTGCTTCATTATTCCAGCTGGTGGTGAGTTTAGGCTGGGAAACATGAGGATTGGTTGCCTGTGACATTTTATCAAAACTAACCTGGTACAGATGCTGTTTTTTAAATCCTAAATGCCTAATCCTAATTTTTAAAATGTTTTAAAATTGTCATGACAGCATCCTACAACTGTAAGCACCACGGGTTAAATACAAATCATTATTTGTTTTACATTAGCAGCTCATAACACATTTCTGAAAAGAGTCCTAGCGAGGCAGCACAGAGAACCTTTCACACTCTTCACTTGGAGCAATCCCATTACAGTATCTGTCCCTCTTTCTGGACATGGCTTTGAATGACTTGCTTTGAGCCATTCAAAAACTTTGTGGTAGACCTGGGTGTTGAAAGTAGTTCTCACAAGGGCTGATCCAGAGCTTATTTAAGTCAACAGAAGTCTTTCCAATTGATTTTAATTAACTTTTGAGCAGGTTCCGAGTCTCAGGGCACTGCCCTTGCTGTGGCAGCATGCTTTTTATACTGCTCATTTTATACACCTATCATATTTCTTCCAACAGTTCTTTCCAAATTAAATTGCCTTAGGGTGCAAGGGAACACTTCAGAGAGATGAAGGACTGTAAACTATCTTATTATTATTGAAATCAATGTGACTTGGATACCTATCTGCAATGTGTGTCATTTAAAAATTTCTACTTAATCAAGCCAGACCTTCCTGCAATGCCTTTCCCCATTTTTCTCTTTTCTCTTCTGTGGATCACTTTTGCAGTCTTTTCTGATGTATAATAGGAAGATGACAGGAGATCTTAGCACAGATTGACACTAGACATTTGCTGAGAGATTCATACATGAGAAATCTATCTGAAAAAGTATAGTTACAAAAAAAAGATTAAAAATTAATGGAATTGGTTATAAGTTCAGTTAAGATGTGATCCTCCAGTTTTATCCTCTGATTCCAGTAGCACACACAAAAAAAAAAGTTGGCTTGCTGCCATGATAAAATAGGCTTATCATTTTCCAGTGGTTTAAATATGGGCCAAAACATTTAATCAGACAATATCAATTTATTTTAGCATTCCTTGGGGAAACCCAGGGTGACTTTAGCAGAGAACTCCTTCTAGCTTTTGAAACAAAGAAGGAGTAGAAGGACATCCACTGTGATTTATTTTTCTCTGGATGATCAGTGGAGAAATTGGATACGCATGACACATTCATTTAGTCCTCACTTCCCTTTGATGATTAGGGCTGAATTTTCATTCTGGTATATGGGGATTTGTGTGTGTCACTCCAAACAACAAGTGTCATACATCTAAGTCCAAATGTAACTTTCTAGGAGTGAAGTTCAGAGACAAGATACTCCAGTGTAAGTGGCCAAAATAGAATATCGCAATAGCATGCAAGTAATACTTACGCTCTAACATTGAAGTCTGAGCCTCACAGAGGCTTGACGGAATTTGTAATTAAGATCCTTTCCCTAGCTTTGGTGAAAAAGCACATTGGAAATATGTGCAGGCATCAACCTAATTAAATCTATAAAAATTGATTAGCCATTTCAAAACATCTGTTACTTGGTCCTTTGCACACTATTGCAAATAACTTCAATAATGAGGTGTGACCAATTGCTTTATAGTGGGAGCATTGCAGCCTCAGGCGAGGGAGACTGAAGAGGCCTAGCTCTAGCTCAAACTGATTGCAGTGAAATGCTGGGTCTGTGTAGTTAGGTGCTGGGATTTCATTTGCTTATAACAATCATTTGTTTATTTATATAACCCTTTTACAGAACACCAGAATTAGACAGAAATGTGAGGAACAGTTTTTGCAACAAAATCGTTTACCCTTTGGGGTTACTTGACACTCATCAAAAGAAAGAAATTGTATGAAACTAAGCTAATGGAAGGAGGAAAAGAAAGCTATATAATGGATTATAAAGGTTTGTAATTGCCTCTTGATAACCCAGAGGCAATTTGAAAGGCTACTGCTGTGGCATAATATTTTCCAGTTTTCATTCAGTTGCAATGTCAAGCGATACAAGCAATAAAACTCTCCCTTACCTTCCCCTGTAAGACTATTCCATACATCACATTGTGAGCAAGTTTTATTTTTGGACTGTGATGAACACCTCACAAGATCAGGCCAGTAGCAAGGCACCAAGCACGTGGTGGTGATGCATCACATGGTTTCAAAAACATTGCAATCCACCACTGCAGCACCGGCAACATTCATTGAAATGAACACATAATTAAAAATACAGCACAACTGCAGTACTTTTTAAAACTTAAAGAATATAATCCTCACTAAATAATCACACTGTGCTCAGATACTGTCTTGGTTTGAAAAGAGAGGTGTCTGCTAAGGAAGGCAGGAGCTTCCCATGAAATGGAAAATGTAAACCACCTCTTTCAGAATTACTATAATTTTGAAATCGAGAGGCTCTCAGTCAAAGATGTGCGAGTAGGAATAATAGTTATTCACTAGAATACATTCACTATCTGAAACACCTCGAGTCTTCTGTGTACATGTATTTTATGTGTAAATCTGGAGAATGGACAATACAAGCAGCATTAAAAATATAAATTTTTGGTACCTAAGGCTTGTGTCTTTATGTTGAAGAAAACAGAGCAATTTTACTCAGGTGGAAAAATGCCATGGCTTTGTTTCAGCTGTGAAGCTTAAAAGAAATTGCTTGAGGGCATAAATCAGGCATTAATGTTTGAAAACCTCAGCAGTGGAAGTTCCTGTGCCAGCAGGAAGCCCAGACTGCAATACACTGAGAAAACTTGAGTCTGATAACCCTCACACACAATTTCCATGCTGGGCATTTAATATTGTAATTTCCAGTCCACACAGATGAACCTGTGCTGGAAGGATAGAATAAAACAAGAGCATTCCCACTGGATGGGCTGTTTCATCTCTAATTCTGCATAATAGATTGCATAATACACTCAGAGAAGCTGTTTTTCTCAGCACCTTCACTAAGAATTCCACTACAGTGGGAACTGTAGTACTAACAACAGCCTATGCTCAACAGCAAGGGATGGGCAGACCTACACACTGCTGACAAACACAGTGTGGCTGCAGGCCTTCCCCCAGGCTCCTCTCCATCTGTATTTGTCCTCCCACAACCCAGATGGTTTTTCTGACAGCCTAAGCAATGGGTGAGTGATCTTTTCCTCTAACCAGTCCAGCTCAAGGGCTACAAGACAGGACTTCTGCTGCTATAAATGGGTCTCCTTTAAATGAGAAACAAATAATTAGACTTAAAACTTTTTTGAATGATCCTGGTGAGATTTTTTCATAAGGACAGAGCTTGTGGTGCTGTTATAAGGATTTTGGTGGAAAGTAGGTTAAAACAAACAGAGCATCCAAGTCCCAAATACAGAAAAGCCATCTCAGAAACTGCATTTGGGATCCCACCAATGAACATGATTAATGGACCACGGATACTGTTGAAGTCTTGCTGGAGGAACTGTTAGCCCTCATAAGTTTTATTTGGCTTTAAATGTGTTTTTCAAGGAATTGGGTTTTTAGGTCAGAGCAGATGTGCAAATTTGGAAATTATTTTGCTTTTCACACCAGCTATTAATATGCCCTACATATTTATTGTAGGGTGTATTAATATACAAACCCATATAAACTCATACAGTTTTATTTTGGATTTTAATTATTTTCCTGCAAATTCTACAATTAGATGGGTAAAACGGCACATTTTGTATGAATTATTAGACTGATAGGGGTTGAAAGCACTTGGCCCACATGCTTGTATCTCATTGTACACCCAAATCCTCTGATAATCCTTCAGATGCACACTGCGCATCAAACGTTGCTTCATCAGAACCGTAATTCCTCAGTCTCCTTACCAAAAATCTTTCAAGGCAGCCATAGATGTTTGGTAAGCCACACTAGTCAGAGGTGGCAAAGGACCAATAAACCACTCTGAAGTAGATGTCATTGACAAAACTCATCCATGTCTGCCTTCAGCTGATTTTTACTGCAAATACCTTCACTCTTTGGTTCCTTCTCTAAAAACATATGACCTAGATCAACGTGTAAGAAATTACAGAAGGGTTGAGCTCCCCATAGAGGTATTTTCAGCATCTTACAAAAACAACCATGAAAAACTAGATATTTTTCCAACACCTTTTTAGGACAGGATTGTTATTTGCATATTTCATCTAAACGGTTTTGAAGTAAAATTATTTATTTCAATTTAAGAATTAATTTAATTAATTTTAACATTTAACTCTTTAAAAAACTCCAAAACAAACTTAAACAAAAGAAAACTTAACAAAACACTTAACAGATTCAGTATAGACAGCAGAATTACCTGACTGTACCCCAGAAAGTTCAATTTATATCTATCATAGTTCACAGCTTCATCTTCTATATCCTTATCCAGGCACAATGCTGCTCTCTTTTGCAGTAAAGTGACACAAAAACAGCTGTTAGCATTACAACCACATGTGACAATTTCCAATTAATTTCAAAATTAAATAAGCTCTTTTCCAGTAATTCTTTGATGTTATCTAATTTTCTGCCAGCTGGTAAAGTCAGAGAGACAGAAATCTCAAAGTAATCTGAATTTTATGGTTCTGAACTTTTCTCCCTTACAAGGAGCAAACCGTTTTTTGCTTTGGTCTTTGAGGGATTATTAGTACAGAGGAACTATTATAACAACAATGAAGGGAATGTTTGATTTTCATTTCATCTTGTAAGTCCATCTCTGGTCTTGAAACTATGATCCCTTATACTGTGGTATATACCAAGAACTGATCAAAAGTTGCTTCAAAAGCTCATTAACACTTTAACACTAAAAAAAGCACTAGGAAAACACATTAAACTTTTCATCAGTCACTCCACCACCAAACTGCCATTTCCTCACACTGAGGTTACATGCAGTGGATTCATTTTCTCTTCCTCTAGGTCACTCCATAATAACTCCCAGTAAAGTCACAGAGAGAGGCTTAAAGGGTTTGTTTTTTTTTAGCTAAATTCCAGCAGGAAAAATCAAGGCTATGTCTGTGCTGTCTGTTACAGAAGGGCCAAGCCTACCTCAAGGCAGATCTACTAATTCTCTATAGCATGGTTCTACAAGTGTCTGTGAATGTACACTCCGGGCCACGTGTGAGGGGGTGGCACAGCATCCAACTTTGTGTGCCAAGGGAGGCAGTCATGTGGCCTTACATACCTGTGACTGCTTTAAGACCAACCTTTTAGTGAAGTATAAGCAGGACCTCATCTCAGAGCAGCAATCTCATCTGTTAATAGACAACCACAGCTGAGTCTGGGCAGGCTCTGATCTTTAGAAGAGGCTGGACTCTTCTCAAGGGGTGAGAACAGCTATTTGTATTTGCAGTTATCAGCCTTCAGCATCAACCTCTTCAGCTGCTTCACATCCAGACAGGACTGCTTGGAACCACATGACAAACCTCTGAACACTGCAGCCAAAACAGGTGCAAAAACATGTAGTCAAGTTGAAAAAACAAGAAAAAAAGAGAGCTGAAAATTAACAACCCTTTGGAGTTGTTGGGTTAAATTATACTGTGCATAGAATTTGCATAGCACTACACATAATTTTTCCTCATCAAAGGTAATCCTAATCTAGAATAACACAAGAGTTATTTCTTTTCCAGGCATGCTACATCTGCTCTGTCATGTACTTTCTATGTGCAGGAATTTCCTCCTCTTCCTCACTGCTGGTCAACTTCAGTAAATCTAATTCAACCAATCCCTCTTCTAGTTCAGCATCACCTCTTCCAGAGGTGTTAATGTAAATCCATGATGCTCTGTACAATCTTTTATCATATCACTGCATGACAATTTCAGGTTCTGATTTGGAAGTTGTTCCTGGCCCTTTTGGGTACATACAACTGCTTTGAAATACGGTTTGCAGGCACCTTTAAAGGCCAAAAGCAAAGCATCAAACAAAAAGAACCTACAGCTTTCTATTTAAAAACAAAGCCCCATCATTTCCATACACTCTCACTTTTTTTTTTAATACTTGACTCATCATCTTGTAACAGCACTGGCAATACTACAAAAGTCACTTCCCTGAGGAGCTGCCCAGGCACTTGTATATGTGATGATATATCCCTGTGATAGATGCCAGCAGCAGTAAATAAACTTTCCAGTCTTACACTCATGCTAAAGATCTAGCAATCTACAGGAAAGCTTCCAAAAGATTCCCCAAGTGCTTGCAGACATTTTACTGGTACATAAAGTCTTTTGTATCTACACACTTAATCTAAAGCACAATTAAACTCCATAGAGAAAATCCCATTAATGTCAGAAACCTTTGGATCAAGTTCTAGAATTACCAGTGCTAGCCCAGTTTACAAGGGCTGACCTTCATACCTGTTTGGCTGCTGATACTTATGTCACGATCATATATTTTTATTTCAGGCAAGGAGCACAATGGAATAAGCCAAGACAATTTTACTTGGCTTTCTATTTTTGTTTCATCAAAGCTTGCCTCTGTACCAGTAATATCTAAATGCATCTGCATTTAACATTTTCAGACCTATGTTCAGTTCATTTGGTCAAGTGTCCTCTGCTGTTTTAGGTGCAAACCAGGAAGTGTCTCATTTATGCTTTGAAATTTATTTGAATTTATTGTTTAGTCCTCTTGTTAACTTTGTGCTTAAATAAAGTACTCTGCAAGCACTGGCTCTGTGCGTGAAGGAAGTTCCTATTATCGCATTCTTCGTGTTACTGTAAACAGATCCCTCCTCCTTGCACGGCATCTCAGGCCAGTGGCTGCATAACATACTGGAGAATTACCCTGGGAAACTGAGGACTGAGCCCTCGAGGGCTCAGCAGCGAAGGTCACAGACCCAGCCTCCAGACCTTGACCTTGGCTGACTGTGTGACAGTGCCAACATACCAGGCAAGAGGAGAGTGGGGGAGAAGGGTCAGCAGACATTGGAGACAGATGGCCTAATTCATCATACACCAGAAATAAATAAAAAAAAAGCTGTTCCAAGCTTTACACGCACAGCAATGGTTGTAAATTCCACAACTGTGGAGACCTGCCAAGCCATTATACGCATACCCATACTGCAGTCACTGGGTATAGCTCCTGAAAGGTGAGCTCAGGAGAAACTACAAAGCATGAAGAGTGCTGAGATCTCAGGAAATTGGTTCATAAAATTATCCTCCAAGCCCTAGTGGAAAAACAATACGCAGAAGTTAGGGACTGATGTGATATTACAGGTTATTTATAAACAATGCATTATGTAATGCATAAGTTGTCCATGGATGGGATACAAGGTATTTTATATCTAATAAGTGTCTTTCAATAATATTTTTTTTTTCTATTTTGCTCTTAATAGTTTCCCAATTGGAGCTACTTGATGGCGTGTCCTGCTAAATAAAGTTCTCTTGTCACCAAGCAGAGTACCTCATAGGAACTGGCAAGGCTGGTGATGCCACTTTGGGAGGATGGAATGCAAACCAAACAGAGCTTTTCCCAGACCATGTATTTTGGTTTCTCTGTAGAAAGAGCAACAGAGCATCCTGGATGCTGCCTTTCAATTTTTGGCATCTAGAAATTCACAGAGTGAAGGAAACAGAGTAATTTTAATGTGTTGTTGCACAGGCCGAGTGCTCAAAGTGGTTTTGTGAGCACAGCTTCCCTACAAAGACAGCAGCAGCCATTGAATTACTGAATATCACAAAGCAAGTGCCAGAAAGCTCGACCATGGCTTTCATCCAGCCCTTTAGCTCTTTCTACACAGGCCAACATCTATGCTCTACACAACAGAGAGTTATTAATACAACCTCCACAATCAGCCAGTGTAAAAACCCACACATAGAACCAAGGGCTCCATTCAGGGGTTCCTTAGGAACACATGGTATGGATAACTCTGCAAATTCTTATCACTAATCTGAAACTGCAACCCACGGAGCAGCCTTTCCTTTTGCTGCCAGGTGACCTTGGAGGGATCAGACAGGAGAAGGAACTCCTTTCTCTAAAAGTAGGTTCAACAAGCAAACACATTAATTCAAGTATACCTATCTGACTGCCAGTCTCCAAGTCTGTGGCTCTGGGTTAGGTCTCCTAGAAGCTGGTGCTGGGTCAAAGAACCAGCACAACACACGCCCCTCTACCTCAGAGCCACCACGGACACTTCTCCTGAACTGTTACACAGAGAAAATAAAAACCGCCCTGTAAACCTGGCTATCTCCTTTTATCACATGTATGTATGATAAAAGGATACACGTACAGCTGTATGCATCCAAGCTTTTCCCTTGTCTCACTGCACTTTCCAGAAACAAGCCCAAACTGCATCACTCAGCAACTCAGAGGAATTGGACAATGAAGCCTAAGTGTACTGTGCTGAATATCACCAGCTAATTCTGACAAGGGGACATTTTGCTCACTGAAGACCTGCTCTACATCCATGAAGTACCCCAGCCTCCTGAGGAAGAGGGAGGAGGAACTACAATACAGAAAGCAGAAATATTCTCCAGTTTTCCTTCTTACTCCAGCTATCCACCAAATTATTTCTTCATGAAAACAAATCCTCCTCTTCCATTCAGCTTGTGGTCTCTGCTTTATCCTTACACTGGATACTGAAGGAATATTTACATGATCAATCTCAACCTCTAATCTAGGAACAGTTCTCTTATGGCTTGGACCCTTCATGTCTTATGTAGCAGATGGAGATGTCTTCCCAGGCGACAACACCAAATGGGTCATTTTGGATTCAGGTGCCTCACACTAATACAACCCCAGCTGTTTTATTTTCCCTTCCTCTTTTGAAGGAGCACAATTGTAGGAGTTCTTTTTCACCCTCAAATTTGCAAGAGATCTTTTACTAGATTACTTCTACTAGATTTGCAAGACACCTTTCATCTAGATATACAGACCATTGTGCTTGAAAGCTTTGAGATATATTCTGAAAGTACAGTTGAGAACACACCTTTTATAGTGTGCCTTTTTAAACAAGGGATTTAAATGTTGCCATACTTCCAAGTTGTTCATGCATCTGCCCAGGTACCCATATGAATATTTTTTTAGCATCAGAGCCATCTTACAAACTTCAGCATAAATATCTCTGAAAGGGAAGAGAGAATTCATGAAGGCAACAAGACTGAATAATTTAAAACTTGGGCTCACAAGCACTGCCTGATCCTGCAGAGTATTTTTCCGTTGGAAATTCATTCTCTAAATGAACCAGAGGACAATCCAACAATGCTCAGGATCCAGCGCCAATCAAAGAAGATCAGCTTGAACCTCAGCCTGTGTCTATGGTTCATGCAAAATTACTAGGGATCAAAAATCCTGGAGCACTGACTGAAAGGTGGTCAAAGAATTGTCATGCATAAAAAAAAAAGAGGCTTGGCAAAAGACTGTTTGAAAGGGGCTTTAGCCATAATAATGATGAGTTTCTTGGTATCCTTTCAAGATAAATAATCCACACTATAACTCATCAAATATCCCCAAAGTTGTTATATCTAGGGGCAAATATACATGACAGTATTGTAGGCAAGGACAACTGGGAAAGAAATGTTCAAATCCAGAACTGACATGGCACATGCCTTTCTGAGCCTTCTTAAATAAGAAGTGTTTTTTAAAGTAGGTCATAGATACCACCACTGTGCATTGCAAGAACTGTGTGAATGCCTCTTCTACATTACAGTGCTTTTACCATCTAAGCAAGCAAACCCTATGTTGTTCAGTCCCAATTCATACAAAATTTTGGATATAGCTGAAGGTTACTTAAGAAGAAGACTATTTCATTAATTTGTCTTTATATATTATAGATGGTTTTATATGTGTTATATCTATTTATACCTTTTAATATTACATATTTTATAATATATATATTCTAAAATTTAGAAATCCCTTTTAGCTGTCATGGAAGCAACACAGAGTAACCCCAGCATAGTTTTGGTATCTCTACTGTCAGACTGAATGTAATTACAAAGAAGTGGGAATGCAATTTATTCCCAAGTAACCAGTGCTGCAAACTACAGCTGTACTTGAGATACCCCAGCTACTCAATATTTACAAGTGTGAATTCAAAAACTGGCCAGAAAATCATTCACAAGCTGACTTCCCCCAGTTTAAGCAAGGGGATGTTTTCCTCTGCACTATGAGGGCCTGCATCCAGCTGGCCAGATGCTGTTAAGAGTGATCTGAACACTGAAGGTCACGGATGCATTTTCATCCTTCAAAATGTAAGCAGAAAAAACTGTGAAGGAACAGAGGCAGATTTTCATTGTGCTCAAAGCTCCAGCAGCATCTGCCTACAACCTTTAATGATATCAACAGCAATTAGATGTACTTCTGACTCAAACACATGCTCTGTCTGGAATGCCTCCTATTTAAAGCCCAGTACACGTAGATTCTATATCATTGACATCCCGTAACACAACAAACATCTAATATACATAGCTGCACAAGTGAGGTCTAAATGCTCATCCCACCTGATGTAAATCTCATTTCTAGAATGGTGGGAACTGTCAGGCATCAGAACCTGAGAACCTGCATGTCATTTCTCATCATTACACTTCCCCACAGAGGAATTAAGCCATCCCAAATGCAAGCCATGACTACAGTAAGAAATTACAAGTTCTTATCTGCATTAACAAACAGAAGTTTGAGGTACTGAATAAACAAACAAACAAATAAATAAAAATTATGTCAAAGACGACTGAACAATTATTTTTGTCCATCACTATTGCTCTATTATGTAAGAAACATTTGCCTGAGACAAATACATAGGCAGAAAACTTAAAAGCAAAAAGCTGAACTCAAGGCAGTCAAGGTGACCAAACCCAAGAACTGTCCTCTTGTGGTGGCAGACAAAAGATGGGGAACTAAAGAGATGCAGAAGAGTAAAAATTACACTAAAGGAGGAAACAAACAGAGCAACTAGAAATAAGGATCTCAGCCTAACTGGCTTCCCTCTACACACTGCAGCTGACCGTAAGAGGGAGAAGAGGGATGCAATGCCAGGACTGAGGTGAGAAATACCTTCAATTAAAATAGTCCCCAAATACATTTATAATTGCACAAGAAGGAAGTGGCTACATATTTGCTGTTCTATAAAATCAAATTCCCTCTTACATAACCCTCCTAGAAGTTAAAATGCTATCACTGGTGAAGTGAACTTTAGCACACACGTGAAGAGATTTTCATTTTGTTACTGGGGTGCTTTTATTGGCTATTAGGGATACTGTAAAAGCGTCCATTGTGTCCAAGGAAGAAAGCAAGCAGATGCTAGAAATAAAGATCAATGTCTGAAGGCTCTCAGCTTACAAAATCAGCAGCTTTTTCCCCCCAGATGAAGAACTGTTATCCACCAGAACCTGGTGCTCCAAGAGCAGAGCAGCTGTTCTTTGGCAGTGCTCTTGTCTGCCTATGGAAAAATACACTCAAATAGGAGCAGCTGAGAGGATCTCAGCAGTTACTAACTTCAACAGTCAGGGTAACTCACTTCATACCACCAATTTGATGGAAGAACTTTAACAGGAGTAGCCCACCCCCTCTGATCATCACCACCTTGGGAATCATCACCTCCCACACCCACAAGTTCATCTGCACAAAGAGAACAAGGATCTCATTCACTAGAAAGAGTTATTAGTAATTTCTCATAGAGGAACCAGAATCATGTACCTTTGTGATATTTTTTTCAATTTTCTACTTTACTTGACCAATGTTTATTTTTACATAAATTGATTTATACATTTTTCTAGATTGGCAAAATTCTATTCAATAAGAACATTTTAGCAAATTATTAAATTTTTAAAGGCTTTTTATAAATTTCTAAAGCAAAAAACTGTGAATTATTTCCATTTATTTACATTCACATTTGTGTAAAATTATCTATAACCAGCATTTCTCCATTTGTTCAGGATATTCATAACAACTGTAAGAGTCTCTAGAACTCCAAAAAATCTCACAGAAAAGCTTTGATTTAACCCTCAACTTTAGCAATAAAGCAAACTTCCATTTTGCATTTAGTCCAGTTTGGCTCCATCTCCTGCTCAAAGTTACAAACTACATACTGTAACATTTAGATAAGCTTAAAAATATGAACCTCAAAGGTGTTAATCTTACAAAGTACTTGAAGAATGTTTGCTAGAGATGAAAACTATCCTAAGATATTAGAAGTGATCAGTGACTCAGATGTTAAGCTTTGCATATCGATAATTAAGAAAGAGAACAACTGAACACCTATATTGGTGAAACCAGTGGCACTCCAGATATCTTCAGTTTCTGGGATGTCCAACATTTTGAAGCAAGTGTGTAGTTTCACTGAATTCTGCCTTAAAAATTACAGGTGGAAAAAACGGAGACTGAAGAAACTCATGGATGCAGTTAACTCTCAACAAACCTTATTTTTAAAACTCTAGGAAGAATTTAAAGCACTAACATAATGAAAAGGCAGTTTGTAAATTCTGATGTTGTATGGAGCAGTTATGAACCATCACAAAGAGAACACAAGACCATCCACCTTGGAAATACTACTCCTATCACTGCATTCCATAGCAATCTGAAGCAAACAGCAAGGAAAACTTCTCTGCTACTCCTGATCTTAACAGGCTAAGGAAAAAAAAACTCCTTTAGGTTATGAGTATTCATACTTTTTTTCATAACAATACTTTCATCTTCATATAAGGACCTTCCCTGAAAAAATTCGGCAACAAATGAGGTTCTCCTTTTCCTACTTTCATCCAGTTCTCCCCCATGCAATTCATTTTTCAAGACGGTTGGTATATATTTTGCTACATAATCTGCCTAACTTCATCCCTGTTTGAGGCCCTCTTTTAATTCTAACCATAGCTTCTAATTTAGCAACCCCAGCTCACTGCAGGGCATTCACAGCACTTCAGAGGCTGTACTTTGACATCTGAAAGAGTGCTGTTATTTCAGCCTTTCCCATTCCAGTCCCATGTGTACCAATGTTACTGCAACACACTCAGTACACCAGATGAAACAACTGGTGCCGTTATGTTTTTTTATACTGGCTATACAACAGAGAGGCAGCACAGCATTAGGAAGGAGCATGTGTGAAGGAGTATGCTCACAGGGCAACAGAGTGTCAACTTAGAAAGTAGCCTCTCTAAAAATGCCTTTTCAAGGACAGAATAAAGTTCAGCATCAATTAAAACAAAAAACTATCACCCCCCTCCAAACTTACCTTGAAGAGAGATTCTGAAAATCCTGAGAAATCTCCCAACTTTTATGCAAGTAGTTCTAAACTTTATTCTTTGGCAGATAAGAAACTGAATGATAGCTAAAGTTCTGCTTACTCTTCCTCTGCGCTGTTTCCAAGTGTTCAGCTGTTCAGTGTCCACCAGATTTCTGGCTACCCATTTTCCTATTGTGCTTGCTAACCCAACTTAATGTTACATTCAACCCAGAGATTTCCTAATACAGCTGAAGTTGTTCAAGTTATTCAGCTGTATTTAGGCTTCACTATGCTGAGCATCGTAGGAAAAAAATCACCAAACCAAAACCCCTGGCTCTAATCTACTTCTACTTTAATGAGACGATGTGATAGAATTCATGATCAGTCTTTAGACG